CTACCGTTAACTAAACACCCTCCTTTCTCCCCTGGCTCTTCTGTCCCCTATCCTGAAGGTGTCCACTGGGGGAAGGCAAAAAAGGAGCTGAATAGCTTCACCACTATCATGTCTACTCACCAGGATGACCTCGACTTTCATGCAAGCTTGAAGAACATGCTCTCCACTCCCGACTGGAAGACAGCCTACCCAAATATCGTCAGCATTTAGATAGCAGTGGCGGTGCTGCCATTGAGCACTGTTGAGTGTGAGCGCGGCTTCAGCCGCCTGAATGTCATTAAGAGTTGGTTGCGCGGCAACCTGTGTGACGCGAAGCTCAGCGATCTGATGACCATGTCGCTCCTCGACTATGACATGGAGTGGGACGTCATGGTGGAGAAGTGGCGTGGGGTCAAGAAGAGGCGGCCCATGAGGGAGGTAGTGATGGGGTAGGGTTCACGTTCAGTGAAGAGGCAGAAGCGGTCAGCGGCATTCAAGGCGGCAAGAACAGCAGTGAAGGTAGCAGCAGCAGCAGCACGACAGGCAGAGGCACTTGCAGCAGCAGAGGAGCCGCGGATGTTTGATGAGGATGGTGCAGCAGGCACTGTATGGAAGAGGAAGGGCAAGGGCAGAGCGATTTTGCTAGAGTCTGATAGTGAGGAGGATGAGCAAGGATGCAGCAGTGGCATTGAGTCTAAGTAGGGTAGGGTTAATGCTAGTTGGTTCTGCAGCGGTATTGGAAGCTCTAGTGAGCTTGTAAGATGTTAGCAACAAGCCAAACTCATTGTTAGAGTTAGGAGTAGCTGCTGTAGGATGTTGGCTACAACTGTGGCTCGTAGGATGTTACTAGTGCCGTAGCTGCTGCTGACCTAGGAATCTTATTACGAGTAGTGCTGTCTGGAACACGTGTAATGTTTCATATGCTTAAGTCAAAGCCTAGAGAATGAGCTGCTTGATTTTCAGGAGGCAAATTTCATCTGCAAACACAGATAAGTCTGTATACTTCGTCTGAAATTTTAGGCCAAGCCAAACACCTCATATGATGGTCAGACAAAACTTTCGTACCCCGTCTGATTCTTAGAATGCCCTAAAAGTTAGCAGGAACCCTGGCTATGGGTGCACTGATCCGCTATTAACAAGCCATTTTAACTCATTGGTTATTGACTGAATTCTGACATGCTATCGAAGCGTTGGTGACTCAGGTTCAATTCTCAGTGCTAGCGCTGCAGAGGCGCTCGTGTCCTCCGCCTATCCCAGCGAGGGGGGGTGTCGAGAGACCCGCTGGGGTTACCTTTGAGAAGATCCTCGGGGAAGGGCCATAGGTGCAGAGCCTAGGGGGCTATGGCCGCACTGACCCGCTATTAACAAACCCTTTTAACTAAGTGGTTAGTGGCTGAGTTTCTAACACAATAAACATACTTATCAAAGTTAGATTATAGAGTGGGTAGTGTAGAGTACTTTGGTTGGATGGGTTGGGAATGTTTCTAGAGGGTAAAATCCCAATACCTTTAGGTCTGGTTGTGATCTGGTTGGAACTCACTTCTTCTACTGGATGTGTCTCCTATGAATGGGTCTCGCCCGTTTTGGTTCCTATGCATCCTATACTCTAGGAGGAGGTCCTAAGGATCCATTAGTCCCTTAGAACACTTTAACATGGTATCTGAGCAGATGGGAGTCTAGTGACCCATCGGAAGAATGACGGTGCATTCCTACGAACCACTCGTCTCGTCAGTTTGCAAAATGACGAGATGTTCCCGTTTATTACAGAGCGCGTCACTTTTGCGCACCGCGCAAATGCGAAATTTGGTTGAGCGAGATTGGTCTCCGCAAAATCCGTCAGCCCAAAACACCAATGGGCTGCGTTTGCTCGACTGAAACAGTTTCGCACCAATTCCCAAATATTGGGAGTTCCTAAGTAGCAAGAATGTGCGAAACCGAAACCTCGGGCTGCCCGAGACTTGTAATTCTGTACGTTCGACAAATGTGGTTCGCTGGTGGTGTTTTGGTCAGCTAGTTTCGAAGTTTCAAAAATTGTGCAAAAGGCATGTTCGATTAACGAAATGTGCACATACATAGCGACCCATTCCAATTGTGCCATCTGGATATGGCGAAGGATTGCAAGGAGTCGCACATGCAATATGCAATCTGCCGAGAGGTTGGGGCAAACTGCCAGGCGGCTCGGGAAAAACCTGCAAACAACCGAAAGGCCAAACTGCCGTAGGTCGTAGGAATGTACCCTGACCTACCGAAAATCAGTCTCATTTCTTGGTGGAAGCAAAAGAGCTTCCACCGCCTTAAAGGGCTGCTGAAATAGCACCGTAGATCATCGTGGCAGACCTTGGACGTGGAACCAGTGAAGGGAAGGAGAAACACGCTGGACGACGTGTTGATTCGCTTGGGAGGACGAGAAGATCGGCATCTTCTCTCAAGGGTGTACAGTGGACGACAAGCGTTGGAGACGATAAGCACATCCTTGGAAAGAGCTCAAGAAGATCTACAATATTTGCCTTGAGGTTGTTGCCATCTGATAAGCGGATCAGGAGAAAATCAAGAAATTCCATCGGTAACAAGAAATCGGAAGAATCTGGGAGAACGCGAATAACTGCTGATCTCGACTGAGAGGAAAGGAGTGGATAACATTCGCGAATAGAGGACGTCAGTGCGCATCGAACAAGCCCAAATTTGGGGGGAATAGTGGAGGCAGCATCAAGAAATCTCACTTCAATCGAACTGGTCGACTCGACGATGACAAATCGAACTTCAGACAAATGAAGCACGGAAAATGACCGTGAGAACTGAAGGTTAACACCTTGCTGGAAAGCTCTTGGAGTAAAGATTCAGCAACCGCAGACAGGTGGTCATTCCGAGATCTGGGCTTGGAGTTATGCTCGATAAATTCGGAAGGGGTGGTTCTGCCAACATTGCCCTGGTCGACATCGACACCAAAGCCGCAGTCGTCGCTGCAATCCTCGCCCCTGCCGATGTTGCCATTGTCGCCGTGACCATTGCCACCGTTGACGTTGCCACAGCCGCCGTCACTGCCGCCGTCGTTGCCGACATCGCCGCCGAAGGTGACGCCAGGCATGGAGCAGGACAAGGGTGTTGAGAAATGGGAGAGTGCACCGAAGTTCGATGGGAATGATTATTAAACTTGGAGCTTTCTAGTTCGAGCAATGGGTAGAAGCACATGAAATTTGGGAATTCTACGATGGTTCAGAGGAGCCACCAATCTCAGGCAATGCACGGTGGAAGTGGGACAGGAAAGAACAAAAGGCATATGGCCAGCTTTGCAATGCCTTGGTGCCGGATGAGTTGATTCGCTTGGTACATGAAGTTGGCGCCAAGACCAAGCTTGCCGACGCTGCTGCCGACGAGGAGCCGAGAGCTGTCACTTGAAGTCTTGCATGCGCAGCTGGGGCATACAAGCGGGTGAAGGAACTCCACCTGCAGCGTGGCTTGTGCAACAGGAAGGCACAAGTGGTGGATGAGGAGAAGCAGGAGGATATAGCAGAGATAGCAGTCGGGGAGGCAGTGACAGCAACAGGGCAGCAGTCAGGGGCAGGGAAGCAGCCGCGAGATGGGTGGTGGATTCTCAGTGGAGCCAGCCACAACTTCACCCCCTATGCGACTGACTTCAAAAGTGAGCTGGGCCCACCTGAGATCAAGGGAGTGAGATTGGGCGATGGAAGAGTGGTAAGGGTATGGATGAGGTATCAGTGGTCGGGGAAGGTGGTCAAGTTTTAAGGCTGCGAAAGGTACACCATGTTCCTGAGTTGCACACTCGTTTGTTGTCTGTCCCACATCTCACCTTGAGAGGCATCACAGTCTTGTTTGAGTGCATGAGATGTGTGCTAAAGAGGGGGGAGCGAGTGTTGGCGACAGGAGAGAAGGAGGGTGGAAGGGATCATGGGCTCGTGCGGATGCCGCTTCCACTAGCTCGAAGTATTCAAGGCAAGGCTCTCGCAGCTCGCCCATCCACCCCCCTCTCTCCTCTCACACTTGCTCATCGCCGACTTGGTCATCCTGTGCCGACTACACTGCAGCAGATGGCCAGGGGAAGCAGTGTGATTGGGTCGGACATTGGGGGAGCAGCTGCAAATTCCCCCCTTGTGAGTCGTGACTATTGGGAAAGTCGGCAAGGAAGTCATTCCCTCATCAGGCATTACGAGCCCTTGGACCACTTGATGAGGTTCATATGGATTTGTGGGGTCGTGTGTGTACGTGCTCAACTTCATTGACGACTTCACCAGGCGAGTCTAGGCATTTCCAATCCCCAACAAGGAACTGGTCCTTCGCACGTGGAACAAGGATGTGGAAAGGGAGTCAGGGCAAAAGCTGAAAGTGATTCACTTAGACAGGGGTGGTGAATTTCTAAGGGAAGCTGTGAAGGCATGGAAGAGTGAGTTTGGCATTCAAACTCATCTAACTATAGCAGACTCACCGCAGCAGAACGGGGTGGTAGAGAGATGGCACAGGACAATGGGAGAGGGGATTCGCACATTGCTTGTCGACAGCGGAATTCCGGCACGCCAATGGGATGTGGCCCTGATGTGGGTGGTGTGGGTTAAGAATCGGGTACCCCATAGTGCATTACCAGCCCTCATCACTCCTATAGAGGCCTGGTCAGGCGCTAAGTTGCATGTCGGCATGGCTCGGGTTTGGGGCTGCATGGGGAGTGTCATGTTGCATGGACAAGAGTGGGGTGGGAAGATGGATGGAAGGGATGTTATGTGCGTCTGTGTCGGGGTGGACACCGAGAGTTAAGAATGGAGGATGCTGGACCCTTCTCTCATGTGCATCCGCATTGTTCGAGATGTCGACTTTCTGCAGAAAGATGCTGGAAGGATTGGGAGACGGCTAAAGCATTTGGGGAAATGAGACAAGATGCTGCTACCAACTCTCAGCTCCTTCCACTCCCCCTCGAGCGCCCTGGAGCAGAGGAAGATTCTGCCGACATGCCTCCGTCGTTGGCCCAGCCGCGGGTGTCGGCACCGCCGAGTGTGTCGGCACAGCCTGCTGACGTGCAGCAGCCAATCCGTTCTGTTCCTTGACACAGTGCCACAACACCTGCCTCCTCCTCCTCCTCCTCCTCCTCCTCCTCCTCCTCCTCCTCCTCCTCCTCCTCCTCCTCCTCCTCCTCCTCCTCCTCCTCCTCCTCCTCCTCTTCTGGCGTGAGCCCACCTCTTCCTCTTGCCAGTGCATCAGGAGCACTAGCTGCTCCCTCCCGACCACCTGAGATAGGTTTGCAGGTCCTTGCTAACCGGTCGCGTTTCAGTGGTAAGGAGGTAGGGGGGGATGCTGGTGCAAGTGTGGGCGTGCTTTGCTTTACCAAAGAGGTGGAGGGTGTTGCGCTAGCAGGTGTGAGCACTGGTGATCTACCGTGCAAACTGGCTGAGGCAAAGTGCGGCCCTGAGGGTCCATCTTGGGATGCTGGGCTAAGAAGGGGGTAACTGCCAAGAGCACGATGGGTGTGTGGGATCCTGAGCTGGTTGACTTGCCTTTAGGTAAAAAGGCCATTCATACCAAGTATGTTTTCCGTCGGGAAACAGATCAGGAGGACAAGGTGGTAGAGCACAAGGTTCGCCTTGTTGCTAAACGTTATACCCAAGAGCCTGACAAGGATTATGATCAGGAGTTTGCCCTTGTTCACAAACTGGCCTCAAGTCAGGTGCTTCTTGCAGAAGCAGTGGTACGAGGTTGGCATGTACATCAGGAGGATGTCAACCATACCTACTTGAATGCACCCTTGCGGGAGGAGGTGTATGTGATGCAGCCTGAGGGTTTTGATGATGGTACATGTAGGGTGTAACGCTTGCGAAAGGCCCTTTATGGAGTCAAGCAAGCACCTCGTGCTTGGAACAAGGAGATTGGGGTCACACTGGTAGCTGCGAGGTTTAGTCGCAGTGCATGTGACGAGGCTTTGAACATCCGATTCGTCGATGAGGACCATGTGTATGTGGATGACCTTTTACTAGTCTCCCCACGCCTGGACTTGATTGATCAGGCCAAGAAAACCCTTGCCGACAAGTACCAGATGAAGGATCTCAACGAGGTGTCTATGTACCTTGGCGTGGAGGTTCGCTGCTGTGACCACTCGTCCTGACCTCTCTTTCACTGTCAACATGCTTGCCCAGTCATGCATTGCACCTAGGCGCATTCACTTGTGTGCTGTTTTAAGAGCACTAATGTATTTGGTCGGCACAGCCACTCAGGTGATTCAGTATGAGCGACAAGGTGGTGAGCAAGTCATTGGGTACACTGACTCTGATTGGGTGGGTGAGGTAGACGAAAAGAGTCGTATGGCCTATCTCTTCAAACTGGGTTGGGGGGGGGGGGGGGGGGGGGGGGGTGTATTAGTTGGTACAGCAAGAAGCAAGACAGTATAGCATACAGCAGTACTGAGGTTGAGTACAAGGCGCTATCCGAGGGGGCCAAAGAGATCATATGGTTGAGGAGCTTGCTGGCTGAGATGTTTATGGGTGATAGGAAGGCAATTCCATTGTTGTATGATAATGAGTCAGCTGTTTCACTTGCTCATAATCCCATACTCCATCAGCGCACAAAGCATATCAACATGGCTTGGCACTAGTTCGCAATGCAGTGTGTCAGCAGGAGGTTGTGGTGCAGTCGATGCACTCTCACCTCCAAGGCGCCCACATGATCACCGAAGCCCTTTCAGGCTTGAAGCTAAATGCAGACCTTGAGCGCATCAGCATGAGGGTGAAGTCTGAAGTGGCCAAGGCATCCCTTGTAGGAGGAGTTATATGTTGAATGGATATTGGATTTGATGCTTATTGGAGCAAGGGGGGGTGTTGGAATTATGGGAGTACCTAGGTTGCTCCAATAAACATACATACAGAATTTAGATTATAGAGTGGGTAGTGTAGAGTACTTAGGTTGGATGGGTCGGGAATGCTTCTAGAGGGTAAACTCCCAACACCTTTAGGTTTGGTTGTGACTTGGTTGGAACTCACTTCTTCAATTAGATGTGTCTCCTAAGAATGGGTCATGCCCGTTTTGGGTCCTAAGCATCCTAGACTCTTGGAGGAGGTTCTAAGGATCCATTAGTCTCTTACATTAAGCATGGAGCAAAGATGGGGTATAGCGGCAGCAAGGTAAGCCCGCTCGTACTGCATGTCCTCTAGTACGTTACTGTCAAGGGCAGGTGCACCCCCGACGGACAGATGACAAGGTAGGGTCAGAGACCAGAGCGCCTGCGTAGTCAAGGCGATGGCTAGCAGTGACGTCAATGACAGCAGCGATAAGCACAGAGATAGTCTTAAGGGGAGCGGTAGGGTCAGTGACAAGAGACGTAAGCAAATGGGAGGTGGTAGAACGAGAAGTACAAGCAGAGTCAATGGGAGGAGCAGAGGACAGTGAGAGCGATGGGAGGGGGGGGGGGATAACGGAAGAACGGGGACTCGAGGAGCACGAGAATGAAGGACCATAGGGTGGACAGTAAAGCACGAGGAGAGGCAGGGCGAGCACCAGGGGGATGATGGACCCAGTCAAGAAGGACGGGTGACTGGGAATGAGGGGGGGCAGGAGACAACACAAGGGACGGAGGAAAGAGAGGGAGGGAAACAAGCCGGAGAGAAGTTCAGGGGGGGGGATCAGCGATTTGTAGACAAGGTCAGGCGGTAGAGGAGGCATAGTAGGAGGGATGGTCGGTGGGTTAGGGGGAACGGAGGAGAGGCAAAGGAGATGAAGGGCAGACAATGGCTGCTGTTACTGCTGCAGCTGCTGCGGCTCACTGTCCTCTCCAGGACCTCCAGCACCACCCCGACTACCACCTCTACGCTTTGCAACAGCACCTCCAGGACTAGTACTCCTTGACGCACCACCCACAAAACCAGCACCCCCAGAGTTAGCACCCCGAGAACTAGCAATCCCAAAACCCACTGCCACCTGCTGCTGCTGCGACCGCTGAGGCTGGTGCGACGGCTGCGGCTGCTGCTGCTGCTACTGAGGCAAAGGGGGAGGCTGCTGAGGTGCCTGGAGGACCAGGGCTGGGGGGGAGGTGCCGCATGGATAGCAGGCGCACCCCCAGTGATGGGGGCGCCAGAGTCCGAAAACCCCCATGAGCCCAACCAAGGGGAATGGAGTGGCATGAGAGACACCAGACAGGGCCCTAGCAAGGTGGGAGGGGGGCAGCAGTGGGGGCACAAGCAAGAAAGAGAGGAGTAGGGACAAGAGATCTATCTTGAGGGAGGCGCCAGTAGTAGGGGAGCGTCTCGTCGAAGGTAACGCCACGAGAGCGGTAGAAACGGTGGTGTACCAGGTGGTAAAACTCTCAGTCAGGTGCATCAAGAGGAAACCCGAGCACGGCATAGGGGAGATTATGGGCTGAGAGCTTGTCCACGCCTGTAGTGCGGACATGAGCAAGGCTGTCTTAAACTTGGAATGCAACAACGTCACCAGGGGACCCGGTCCAGAGAAGTGTTGGCGAAACATGTGGGCTCGTAGAGCGCGACCCCAGGTTAAGCTGGTGATCTGCGTAGCGCACGGCAGACGGCCACAGAAAATGGGGTGCACCGGCGTGGACCAAGGAGGTGCGAGCTACCTCCATGACCAAGCTGATGTGTCGCTCAGCGACCCCATTCTGCTATGGGAAGTCTGGCAGTGTGTACGTCTGGTGGATGCCCTCCAGAGGCGAAATCGCCACCATAGTCGGAGTGTCGATGGACCACGGGTAGGCGGCAAGCAGCCATGGGATGAGAGCGTCAGGCATGTCAGCCTTCAGCTCAAGCGGGAAAACTGCGGTGAAACGCGAGAAATCGTCTACAACGACGAGGAGGAAGCGCTCCCTGCTAAGACCATGGTTTGGGGCAGGGCCCAGACGTCCATGTGCAGTGTCTGTAGCGGTGCTGTAGTTGGAGGAAAAGAGGAGGAGTGAGGGGCGGTGCGCTGCCGGCCCTCAATGCAAGAGGTGCACAGGGGTGCTACTGATGCAGGACGGGCTGGGAGTTGTGACATGTGCCTACGACGCGGGAGTTGTCGGAGAACCACCGGTTCTGCTTGTCCTTCACCTCCTCACCACCTGATCCCTGTTGTCCTCCCGCCTGCAGATCATCTCTCTCGCTCCCTCTGCTCAGCGGGCCTGCGTGAGTTGCCCACTTAAAAAGCCCACTGCCCCAAGTCGGGCCACTAAGCCTGACTAACTAGGTGCATGCTTACTCAATAGTCAATCACGCTCGTACGGCACTCGTTTGGGTTAACAAGTACTTTTTATCGAGACGCAAGAAACAAACAATCGAGCTGACCTTGTCTAGGCTATGGATGCTGCTATGTACATCTGATATCTAGTCTACCAAGAGAGCCAGTGAGCAGGTGGCCTTTCGGCTTCCCAACCACCCTGCGTAACAAGCACACTATTTACAAGCAAACTAAGCATGCACGCCCATTCCTGTACGAGCATAGCTCCACGCAAGTATGCACCCATCCTCGTCATCGTGTCTTCATGCTGCCCCTCCCACATCACCTGGCCTCCCTTTGCCCTCCCTCCTCCGGAATCCTTGATCACGCCAACTGTCATTGGACCCCCCACCCCTACGCGATATACACCCCCGGCCTTGAACACTGTACTGCTCATTTCGCAATCTATCACCTTCTTATAACTGCAATGCAAGTATAATATTGCGACAGCTGTCAAAGAACCACCGGTTCTGCTTGTCCTTCACCTCCTCACCACCTGATTCCTACCATCCTCCCTCCTGTAGATCACCTCTCTCTCTGCCTCTGCTCAGCGGGCCTGCATGAGTTGCCCACTTGTCCCCTTCCAGCTGCACTGCGTCTCGCACAGCTGGCTGGAACGTTGCAACTCTCAACCACATGCTCTAGCCACGTTCGTGACATGATCTTGGCGTTCCCTACCATCTGCATTCTCCAGCACTAGCACTTCGGATGGCTTGACCGCCTTCACCGTCCACTGCTCTGTGGTCAAACTGATGTCCAGCACGCCGTGTTTCACCTTGTGCACGTACACCTCTGTCCCTGCCTTTACCATGGCCTTCCCCGCTTCCTTTCCACCTCCCAGCCACTGCCGGTAGCGGTGTGCATCTCTCAGCTGAGCACATGCAAGTTCTCCATTGCAGCAGGCAGTAAATCCTTCATATACCGAGCTCGCGCCCCTGCCAGGGCCGCCCACTTCTCTTCCTCTCCTGCCGTCACCATGTCTGTTAGCAGCTCGCGCCCCTGCCAGGGCCACCCACTTCTCTTCCTCTCCTGCCGTCACCATGTTTTTCAGCAGCTTGGGAGCATCCACTGGCAGAATAGGCTCCTTGCCGAACAGCAGGCAGTATGGCGACATGTCCTTCAACGCTGCCTGCTTGCTGAAGTGGTAGCCTGCAGCCACCCACAATTTTTCGTCCCAGCTTCTCTTGTGCGCCTCTCCATACGCGCGGAGCAAGTGTTTCAGCATCTGCACCATGCGCTCCGTTAGCCCATCGCTCTGAGAGTGATGCCTGGAGGTCCTCCGGTGCACTATCCCCACTTGCTGCAGCAGCTGGTCGAATGCCCACAAGAACTCTGTCCCCTGATCGGTCAGAACTTCCCTGCACGCCCTGAACCTTGTCAGTACTTGGTCAGTGAACGCCTCTGCTATCAGGGCCAAGCTCTTACTACGGATGGCCCGCACTTCCACCCACTTGGTAACATGCTCCATCATCACTAGGATGTATTTCTTCCCTTTTTTGCTGGTCGGCAATTCGCCGGCCAGGTCCAGCAACCACCTGAAGCACACGTTCACAATGGGCAGGGACTGCAACTCCTTTCGCGCCTGCTCCAGATTCGCCCTATTCCTGCTGCACTCTTCACATGCCCCCACTACCTCCTTCACTTGCTTGCGCATCCCGGCCCACCAGTACTCCCCTGCCACAAGGTGCCACGTCCTCTCGTGCCCGTAGTGCCCCAGCTTCTTGTGCACCCGCTTCACCAACTCCTCTCACTCCGCTGGCCTTGGCACCAGCTTCCACCCTTCTTGTGTCCGGATTTGCAGCTGGTCTTCGTATCACCGATATCGCTGCCCCCTGTTCCGAGCCCTTTCACTCACCGCTTCCTCCTCGCCACTCTCCCCCTTTATCCAGCTCAACGCCTCCGCGTCTCCCAACACATCTTCAGACCCCTTGGCTCCTTGTGCTGCCCCCACTTTCTCCACCTCCTTCGCCAACACCACCAGGCATGCCGCTGCTTCCGCTGGGGGCGGACTCCTCAACAACCCATCTGCGTGCTGCACTGTGCTTCCTGGCATGTGTTGTATCGTGAATTCGTACTCTTGGAGCCGCATTGCCCAGCAAGCGTTCCGTCCGGTCAGTGTCTGATTGGTCATCAGCCAAGTTAATGGCTTGTGGTCGGTCACTAGCGTGAACGGCCGCCCTTGCAGGTACACTCGGAAGTGATGCACCGCCCACACTGCCGCCAAGCCTTCTTCTCCGTAGGAGCTGTAATTCGCCTCAGTCGGGTTACAGCTGTGGCTCATGAAAGCCACCACTCGTTTTCCAGCTTCTCCTTTCCGATTCAGCATTGCCCCTATACCTGCGCTGCTCCAGTTTGTATACAGGATAAAGGATCCCTCCTTTTTGGGCAGTTCCAGCACCGGCTCGTTCTTCACGGCTTCCAGCAGGTCCTTCAGCGCCTTTGTCTCTTGGTCTCCCCACTCCCATGCTTGGTCCTCTCTGAGAAGCCGGTTCAACGGACCTGCCCGCTTGCTGAAGTTTGGCACGAGCTTCTGGTAGTAGTTCAGGAACCCCAAGACCGCCCACAGCGTGCTTTTGTCTTTTGGTGCTGCCAGCTTGTCTACGATGGTCACTTTCGCATTCTAGATCGCATTCCTTCCCCCAGCCACCTTGAATACAAGGTACCGCATGGTCCGGCTTCCGAACCTGCACTTGTCAGGATGGCAGGTGAGGCCTGCCCCTTCGATGGCTGCTAGCACTCTCTCCATGTCTTTCAGGTGCTCTCGGCGCTACTTCTGAAGACTACCACATCGTCTATGTAGCAAGCGGCGTTCTCTATCCCTACTAGCACGCCATCCATGATCCTCTGGAACACGGCCGATGCATTCTTCAGCTCGAAGGGCATGTACAGCCATTTGTATAGACCATCCACCCTATGCAATGCCGTCTAGCTGCAGTCCTTCTCTCGGATCCGGATCTGGTTGAAGCCCTGCCGTAAGTCCATGGTTGAGAAGATCCATCCTCGGGCTAGCGGGTCAAAGATCTCCTCCGGTGACAGCATCGAGTACTTGTCAGGAGCCGTCGATTTATTCAGGTCATAGTAGTCTCCGCACACTCTCCTCTGTAGGGTCTCCCCTGCCAGGTCCTTTCTGGTCGCCACCACCGTCCCCGTGGCGTACACCGATTGGGATTTCCGGATTAGTCCCGCCTCCTCCAACTCTCGGCACTTCTCCCTGCAGATCTCTTCGTCCGCCAGGCTCATTCTCCGCTTCCGTTGGTATGTCGGCATGTCTGTCGTTAGCTCTATCGTCAACTCGCCCTTCGTGCATTTGCCCAACTCTTTCGAACGGAAGGCGATGCTTCTCCAGCAGGCTTCGCATCTGCTCGACTTCCTCTCCTTGCAGCCCATCGCCTAGCTCCCAGTCTACTTCCTTCTGAGCTTCTCCCAGCTCGGCCGCTCCAGCCATGAGGGCATAGGTGCGGAGCACGCTTGGGTATTCGCCTTTCACCGCCTGGCTTCGGATGACGGGCCCTGTCGGCGGCCATCCTTCCTGCACGATCTGTTGCTCTCCCTCCACCTCCCACTTTGCCTTCTCCTCCCGACTCCAGCTCACCGTTGCTTCCCTGGCCGTTACCCGCCTCTCCACCTGGAGCCTGGTAGTTGCACATGGATCGTATGGAACAGCCTTGAGATCGCCTATACATCCATAGCCCTTCCAATCGCCCTGGTCCTCATCCAGTCCTCTGCCCCTGCTACTGCTGTTGCTCGTGGCACCATTCCCATCGCCAGCTACCTCTCCACAGCTATCAGCTCTTCCCATCACTTCTTTACATGTTCGTATACCATGCCCGGCCCGGGCACTCCCCGTCTTTCCATCTTGAACCCGTGCGCTGCGCCATAGGCCACCAAGGTAGGCTATGTTGCTCTTGGCCTTCCTGGCTGATTGCAGGGGTATTGTGCTGGGTGGTCGGTGAGGCGCACTTCCGCGGCTGTGCGATTTGGCTACAGGATCTGGATCACCGTCCTCGCCACCAGCCTGACCTCTTTCGCCAATTCCCACTGTGCCCTTTCCACCGTCATCCCATTAGTCCAATAGCGTCTTGTCCGATGGGCTTGTGCCCCTGGTTGCGCCGCATCGAAGGCGATTCTGGTCCCAGGTCTGCCACCACCCGGGCGTGTGCTCTGTGCACTGGCTCCCTCGGGTCTGCCGCCACGTCTACATTCCCCAGCAGGTACAAATAATCTCCTTGCTTGCGTCTCAACTGTTTCATGACCCGCATCATGTCCTCGAAGAGTGCTGTCCTACAATCTGTCGTCCCCAAGCCCCGGCCCGCCCAAGACACTCCTTGGCACTCCCAGCCCGCGATCACCACGTCCAGATGACTCTCGTCCACCTGTCGGATGTCATGGACAAAGTCAGTCCACGGCCTGTCTTCTGCCCCATCCAGCAGCTGCCCTGGGTACTCCTCTCGCAGGCGCTGGATGTGATGTCACGCCATCTCCCTGGAGGTCGTTTCTAGCTCAACCTGAATCCACCTCTCCACTATGCAGCCTGCCATCAGTAGCAACGCTAGTCCATTCGCCACGCCGCCAAATAGGTCCAGAACCGTCACTGGCCTCTGTGGCATCTCCCAATCCAGCAATTGCGCGGGAAGCACCTCTCTCCTCTCCGCCCATTCTTCACTTCTGTTGCGCACGTGCCTCTCCTCCTCGTAGACTTGCCAAGGCTCCTCCCCCAACTGTGGCTTCAGTTCTTCCATTCTGGCCTGGTAAGCGGCCTTGGGTTCCTGCTTCACAAATCGCACTGGTAGCACCCCTCGTGGGCCGCCCTCCCTCCAGTACTGTGGCTGACAAACTACCCTCTCCTGCCAAGTGCACACCATCGCTCCCACTTTGTACAGCAATTCCATTCCAACGAGCAAGTCATAGTCCTTCGACTGTGACACACCACACCACAGCTAAATCCTTGCCTTGTGTCTCTCTCCTGGCATAAGGATGATCTCCATTGGACGATGCATGCTTGGCATCCACTTCGGCTCTCCCCCTTCCGCCGTCATCAGCAGGAAACCCGTCTCCTGCAGTTGCTCTTCTTTATCCAACCCCATCCTCTCCACCAAGCCTTTGCCTATGAGCACGTGGTGTGCCCCTGTGTCGATGATCGCCACCTCAACTGCTATGCCTCCCACTGATATGGCCCGCTGCTCCACCACCAGCACAGTTGACTCGCATACCAGTCTCTCGTATGGGTGCTAGAAGGCTTCCTCATGCAACTCTGGCTTGATCTCCACCTGCACCTCCATTTCATGCTCCCTTCTTCTTGGTCCTTGAGGCCAGAAGGCCGAATTCCCCGCCTGGGTGGCTGACCTTACCATGAGTGTGAAGGAGGCTTCACTGCCTTCGTCCTCCTCCTCTAACTCCTCCTTTCAGGCCAGGTGCGCAGCGCTGGGCTTCTCCTCTGCATCCAACTGCTGCAGACGTTTCTGGATCTGTTGCAGCTGCTTATTCAGTTCCGCCCTCAGGTTCCCCTTCCGCTTGCCTTGTCGTTTGGCGTAGCAGTCTGCCTCGACATGGCCTTTTGTGCTACAGAAGGAGCATGATGGGATCGAAAGGCACTCCCGCTTGAGATGTCCTTCCTCTCCATACCGATCGCGCGTCGGCTTGTGCGGACAATCTCTCTGTATGTGACCAGGCTCCCCACACTGATGGCAACGTCAACGATCGGACCATGGCGGTGGTTCCCGTGTTTCCCGCTTCAGCCCGCGGGGCATCTTGAGCCGGGGAAGCGGCCCATGCTCCCTTCTTCCACTCCGCCGCAAGGGCTTCCATCCGCTCTAACTCATAGAACCGATGTCCCAATTTGTGCGTCTGCGCGAGCTCGAACGCGTCCTGAAGTGTCGCCTTCCACCCCAGTTCAAAGAACTTCCCCTTTATCTCGCACACCAGCGCCTCTTCCAGCGCGCCGAGGAATTTCGAGATCAGCCGCCGCTGATCGTGATGTCCGAGATCCTCCGCCAACTCTTGCAGGCGCGCGTGGCAGCTGAGCAGCGATTCCCCACGTCGTCGCTTGAAGTGTACATACTGTATTTTTGCATCTTCTCCTGCATCTGCACTGGAAATTGATCCCTCAACTACTTCAGTAAGGCATCGACCGGCTACCACCCTATCCCGGGATGTGGTAGAAATGCTCTGCAACCCCTGTCAAAGTGTACAATAGTCTGCGGAAGAATTCTTCTTCGGAGTATCCTTCCTTCTTCCAGCGATAGCGTATGTTATCCCACAGCATCAGGTAATTCTGCAGATCCGCTCCTTCCCCAACCATGCTCGAGAAGCGAACTGAAACCTTCATCTCGGGTGCACTTCTCGGCTTCTGTCTGATTCCTCTCGCTTCTGCCAGCATACCGGACAGATCTCTGTCGCTGGCCCAACGCGTCCCCATCGCGCCGCTCACCGGCTGCTCCTCATGAGTCCGACGTGACATAGGCTCAAGCGTCTGGCCTCCCCTCTGGGTCGTGAAGCCACCCGCTGTATGCGCTGCTCCTCCCAACGCACTCGCATAGTCCCCATGACTACTGCGTTGTGGTGGCGCTTGGTACACGTTGGCTCCACTCGCCTCTGACTCATGACGCTCCGATCCTCCCCCATCGCCGCCCTCTGGCCACGATCGCCACGTTGGCGAGGATGCTCTACCTCCGTTTGAATTCGTACGCTGATAGCGATTTCCTGAGCGCAGCGGCATCTTCGCTGGCCCGCAAGCTCGATTATTTGTTGAAAAGCCCACTGCCCCAAGTCGGGCCACCAAGCCTGACTAACTAGGTGCATGCTTACTCAACAGTCACTCACGCTCGTACGGCACTCACGCTCGTACGGAACTCACACTCGTACGGCACTCGTTTGGGTTTACAAGTACTTTTATCGAGTGTGGGGTGAGAGCAATACTGTCGCGAAAGAAGCAGTGAGAGGCGCGAGAGTCTAGTGTAAAGGAGAGGCCCGCCTCAGCGGGGGCCACTGATGGAACGCTAAAGGAGTCTATGCCTGACGCAGCAGGGGATGCTAGACTACACAGAGTAGTGGATCCTAGACTACAAACAACAGGATATTAGGAACCAACAGAACTAGTGTCACCAGCATACATACAGTACATTGCATACACTATCTGAATCATCTCGAGAACAAAGATCTGAGCACCACGACGAAGCAAAGAGGGCAAGTGAGGTACCTGCTGCTGGAGGCCAAACTGGTGGCGGTAAAGGTCGTCCAGGCAGCGGTGTGGCCCATCCGCCTGCAGACCTGGCTGGGCTAGGGGTCGGTCAGCAGCTGGTACGTGCAAGTCCCAATGCCTCCAGGACCGCCAGACCCAGGGCCCACATGTATGAGCCACGCAACCCCCAGGGCATTGACTGCTGTGGGGCCCAACCTCCACAGCCTCAACCACGACCTGCACTCCCAGGGCCCGCTGGCCCCCATGCCAGCTGTTGCTGCTGATGCGACCTCTGCTGCTACTGCTGCTGCGGCGGCTGCTGCGGCGGCTACTGCACAGTCCCTGACTCATCGGACCAACCTCTCCCTCTGCCCCTGCACCCCCTCCACCCGCGGCTGCCAATGCCCCATGTCCCTTGCCCCCCTTGCCCTTTCCCCTCTGCCCCAAGGGGCGACTGGGGTGGTGACCACTGCAGGGGTCTCGGTGACCTCAGCAACAGAGGCAGAGGCCCTAGAGGCAAGGAGTTGGGGCGCAGAGCAGTCCCCAAAGACGGGGACCACCACCGTGCTAGTGGTGTCATCGATGGCACGGAGGTGCAACTCAACCGTCATCAGGGCGGTGGGGGGCTGTGCGAGGAGAGCGTCGCGTGCAAGGGTGAGACGGTCACGGAGGCCGGTGGCAAGGTGGTACAGGGTTATGTATGTGGGTGGGAAGTTGGTGGCGTGCTGGTCCTCAGGGCACGCTGCATGCCAGCGAGCCTCAAGGGAGTGCAGGTGCGCTACGAGGTCCACTACAGTGGAGAAGGAGGCTATGTCGGGGAAAAGAAACGGCAGTATGAGATGACCTAGGGTAGCGGAGGACTGGGTAGAGTAGCAAGCGATAACTGCGTCCCAGATCTCTTGAGCAGTCTCTAGTGTATCAAAATGAGTCTGCTTGTCTGGGGGAAGGGCCCTAGAAACAACCAGCTGTGCAGCTGCGTCGCGGGACTGCCAGACAGAGAGGGCCGCTAGGGCAGGCTCGGACGTCGCGGACGTCGCGTCAGCAGCAAGAGCAGTGGGCTCTGGGGGGTTGGGCAACGTACCCGAAGTGTGGGCCACAAGGGCCTGGCTGTCCTGGCGGATAGACATGAGCTGGCCGCAGAGAGCGACGAGCTAAGCGGAGAAGCCAAGCGCGCGACCCTCGGCGTCCACGCGGAGGATAGAGGCAGACGGGGTCGCCATGGCGGCAGCTGGTGGCGAGGGGCGTCGGCGAGCTGCTGTAGTTGGCAGTAGGAGGCCGCGGACGGTGGCAGCTGGTGACGGCAGCGGTTGGCTGCTAGTGGCGGCAGTAGGAAGCTGCAAGTAGTGGCAGTGGGCCGCGGCAGCAAGCTGCAAGTGGCAGCAAGCAGTAGCGGGCGGCAGCCGTAGCGGGTGGCAGCGGGTAGCAGCACGCGGAAGCGGGCGGCAGCGGCTGCCGTGTGGCTGCGGCAGTGGCAACT